GTCTGAAAGGCAGCAAACTGACTCTGAGGGGACAGAGAAAACTCTGCCTCTGAACGTACTTTTTGCCTTCCAGGGATCACAGTAGCAAAAGGAGCCAGTTTCTTTTTGAAGGGCACACACAGAAATGCAGCAAAGTGCCCATGGGACAAGGCAACATTCTTTCTACCTATGGGTGTAACCAGGTTCTCTGCCTTTCCACTGGGAGAAGCATCTTCTGCAAGCCTGTCCAAGCAAATGAGTCACAGGCCATATACCTACACTTCAGGTTGTGGCTCAATTCACTGCTGACTTGCCTATACCAGAGGTTTGGAATAGGGATGGGCAATTTATGATGTCCTTAGTTTCTCATTTTTCCAGCTGTAGCTCTATCCTGTTTCCATATCAGTTTCTTTTATTTTTTTTTTAACATGGAAATTTAAATGCATTCTCTAACACATTTCTCCCGAAGTACATATTTCTGTATGTGTTTTTGCCCAATATGTACATTTCTTAAAGTGGTTCTCTCTCTCTCTCTCTCTCTCTCTCACACAACTCACACACACACTTTTTCACTTATAATTCATGTTTTTCACATTATAATTCAAGCCTGAAGAACTGCATGGCAAAATTCAGAGGTATTTGAATACAAAGCAATAACAGTAATTATTCTGGTTCGTATACTGATAATGTGAACACTAAATGTTTTAAGTTCTTATTGAAATGTGAACAAAACAAAATTATCCTGCTTCAGAAGAGCTCTTTCCCAGAGCTTATTTCCTGGAAATAACAAGTACCAAGCTATGGCCTTTCTCTAAGAGTATATGAGGTGCATAGATGTGTATGTGTGTATGCACATGCATGTAAGCATTTGATTTTATTAAAAAAAATTTTTGCCAAGAATGCTCAGTTCTTAAAATGGGTACCAACAAGGGACTTTTCATAGGTGTTGAAAGTTAGAGCTTGGGGAAGTAAAAGAGTTTGAAACAGAACTTGCTACATTGCTAAAGGAAGCTCAATATGAACAATTAAAATGTAGCAAAATCTGCAGGGTTTCACTTCAATAGTAACTATGTGCAAGTAGCAAATAAAACCCTTTCACAGTCAGATGAGCAAAATACTATTTGGGGGGAAGGAAGACTGAATTTGCTCCCTGGAATTCTTCATGTTAAGGTGGCTTAGTTCACCCAGCAAGGGTATTTAGGTTGGGAGCTGCTCCTACAGCAAATTTGGGTAAGCGGCATTTTTCACTATCACTGCAAGCTTTTGCTCTGCTCATAGCATCCATGCTCAGGAATAAATTTCATTTATTGACAAGAGAAAGCAAGATATAATGAAGGGGTTGCACCCAATGGTGTCATTCCATTAGCACAAATGATGTTGCGCTAGTGGAAACCAAATTCTGAACTATGCTCAAGGGGAGAATCCAACTAAAGTTCCATTTGTGCAAGCCATTGCACAGCGGTTTTCAGATCTTAGGTTTACAAGCTGGTCCTCTACCAGTCGTACAAAAGGAAAAAGCAACAGAACTCTGCTGGTACAGCAACCTCTTCTGCAAATATTAGATGTAAGTTAAAGATGTGAAATCCAGGCCTAAGATGCTCTTGGGAGCTACATTTTAATTCCTTCTGTTAAAAACCTGGGCTTTGTTTTGTTACCAGCAAGTCTGCAAGATCTGAAGTACTGAAATAACCCTAGCTACTTTTCAGTTGTTAGTACTTCAGGACATTTCACTGAGATATAAGGAAGCCTGCTGGGAAAGGAAGGATATTACTTTGATCTTACTGGCTTCCACCTAGATGATGCTAGATCAATTGTTCCAAATCTCATCTTTGCCATGCCTGGTCTTCAGTTTCATCCTCAATTTCACATTGCCCCGTGTCCCACAATGCGTCCTCAAGCACACATTCTGGTTTTCATTCTACATGCCATTGTGATTCGATTTCTAATAATATTTATTCCATTTTTTTAAAGACTCTGGCTTTCTCAGAATAAATCCAGACATGCTCTGGTCCCTAAATCTGTAAAAGTTTGTAAGGTCACAGGCTGGTTAGTTCAACCATTTCTACTCTTCAGTCTGTACTTGGTTCAGGACTTAAAATACATCTCTCTACTTTTTTTGCAGCATTTTCATGAGCTTTACTACACATCTGCTGGATCTCCAAAAGCACATTTCCAGATTCACACTAAATAGACATCAGAAAAGAAATATAACTCTGACACAGGGAACAAGTTCTCTTTTTTAGTTGGCTATTTTGAGTAAAGTATCTTTAGTGCCCCTACAGGTTTCTTCAGAAACACAACATGACAGCCCTGGGCAGAGAAATGCATGGTGCCACTGAGCCTTGGATACAGTTGATGAAAAAATCCAACTGAATAATATCCAACCTTAATGCACTATCTTCCCCACAAAATATATAGCTGAGCAGCGATGGCACATATTGTTACATTCCAAACCAAGGACTTGGGGGACACAGCTCCTTAAAGTTGTGGTAATTGTATTCCACTCATGCTCCATTTTTACTGCCAGCTGTAAACTACCTCTACATGCATCATGGTTTGCATCAAAATGCACACAGGCCAAGCCCATTTCCAAAAGGGACACAGTACAATTTACAGCTTTTACGGGTCTTTGCACCCAAGGCTGGATATACAGGAAACAGCCAGAGAAAAGTCAAGACATTCTTACAAAATTACTCACAAAAATCAACTACATCTCCACATGTACACTCAAGACTGCAGTAGATTCCAAAGATGCTTAAAAATTCAGTTTATTTCCCATTAGTTGCTCTCCATAGGATAAAGTAACATAAAGGCAAGCACATCGTTAAGATTGCTAATACTAAGATGCAATCCCCCTAGAACAGCTGAGGCCCATATAAACCAAACTAGAAAGAAGACCTGAGAAAGAGGCAGGAAATGGCAGCATGATCAACAAGAATTACCTCTACTGGTTTTTTTTCCTGTGATCAAATCATTTATCAAGAGTGAGGCTTAAAAAAATCCACAAACCCACTGCCCAATTACTCCCAATTTTAGCCAAATCATGTGCACACACCCAGCTTTCTAAAACTGTAGCTTAAGGAAATCACAAAACATAATGGGGCTGAATGCTCTCCAGTGACCCTTTAATTCAGGCACTCTAACCCTATTGGAAATATTTCAGGAGAAAGAGCTCCTTATAATGCTACTTAAACTATTCTGATTTTTAATGCAGATAGGCGGAGGAAAGCAAACCCATTTTTCAGTCCAAGCAAATACACTGCCTGGCCATACAGGTTCACAGTTTTGAAGCACAAATCTGAATTAATACAGTCACACTGAAACAATTCTGACTGTCCATTAGCATGCTGACTAGGAAGCTCATTTTGATTTAACAACCCCTTCTATTTCAAAACCTTAAGCAGCAAGACTGGAGAACTCCACAGCCGTAACAGTACAGAAATCTAAGCTTCCCAATATGTAACAGACATATGCAATATCCTGAGAATCCCCACTTTCATTTTTAAATTAATATCCTTAGCCTGCTTAGCTGTGAAGCTGGAAAATGCATGTGCATTATTCATATTTAGAATAGGAAAGAGAACCATGGAGGACACATATTGTTTGGGTTTCTAGTGATCATGAAGAAAAAACTGACATGTTTCCATAGGTGTGTTTGCACTCATACCATCTCCCAACACTGCAAGTATTTATTTGCCTTCCACCACCCTATCTTCTTGTCAGAATCATCAAACTTTGAATGAATGAATGAGTGCTTGTGGTGTGTGTGTGTGTGTGTGTGTGTATTAATGAGGGAGAGGGAGAGGGAATGAACCAAAATGAACATTTTTGATCCTCATGCAGTATTCTGTCTAAAGTTTGTTTTTTGTTTTTTGTTTTTTAGTATTAGTTGCAAAATACTGAGGAATTGCAACACAAATGCCTTCAGAGATATTCTTCTAAAATGACTGTGCATTGTCAGTCCCAAGGGGAACTGTGCAGTAGCAGCTGTGCAATCAAGATTTACTCACAGGCCCAGAACAGCTGGAAGTTATCTTTTAAAGTGAAACAAATATTGTTTGGTGTCTAAATTAACACCTAAGTGAAACAAACAGAAGTAAGAAAAGTTAACACTTTCCAGCTCTTCTGCCAAATCCAGCAAGCAGTGCTGCAAATTCACACTTAAGAATATTTCACTTGCAAGTGAAGGGGCTTGGCTGTTTCCACTGGTGATACAGAGATTAAGAAGCAGAATTACAGTCTTCTTTCTTTTCCCCACTTTTACTCATCACAGTGTTCTTCTGAGGAAGAAAGTTCCTAATCTTAAATATAAAGAACTAAGGGCATAAGAAAGGCTTTCCCAGAGCTAATAGTGAGCTCACGACCAAGTTGAGATATGAATTCTTTAAGCTACGTGTTGCAGTCACGATCCATCTGGGTTTTCTCTATCTCAAAGCAAACACAACAGCTAGAAAGATTTTTAAGTGCTAGTGTGTTGGACCTAAGATCAAATTTCTGGGGTCATCTTGGGCTGCCAAATTTCATACCTATCTATAAAATAGGAATGATGATCACTCTTCATAAGAGACACAAGTTGTTACATATAACAAGATTCTGGGGCTGTTCAAATGTACTGATAAACTATCATAGCTAGATTTCCCCACAGGTCTTAGCAAATGCTCCAACAGCCATTCTGAATTTGTAACACATAGCTCCATGCGTTATATGCATCTGATGTGGGTTGCTGAGCAGGCAAACAACCCTCAAACAACCATAGTTATTTTTGTGTACTTCAGTGCAGTCTACTCCCTCAAACAGTCTACTATACAGGGTTCTCAAAATACACCAAAACATGCTAAGCAAGGGTGCCAGCAAGTGCCAAGAAAAAGGGAACCCACAGTCAGCCAGTTTGAATTAAATTAAGCCATGGTGGGCAATCAGGTAATGCAAAGTAAGTCACATACTGATGCCACCTGCTCCAACCACCTCTCTGTCCCAGGAAGTCTCTGGCAGAAATAAACAAAATGAATCTATACACTTACCTGGGGATGGATCTGTGGCTTGTCACATGTGGCTTCAAAATCCAACACTAGGAAATTATGATACCTCTGTGGGGGAAAAGATGACATTGCTGCCATGGAAGCAAAGCTGTGAGACGCCAGTTTCCCGGTTGTAATGGAGCCGTACCCCTGGAAAACACCTAACAGCTGAGGGGAACGTAAAGTATTCCTCGATTTCAGGAGTAACTTGAGGCAAAGCCTTTTTGCTGTGGTACGGACAAGTGCTACCATTGAACACCTAGCAGCATCTGGAACTTCTGGAGAGAAAAAGAAAGAATATATTACTCCATAAATACTTACTTAACTGCCATCATTAAAACATAAATTTCATGTTCACTTCATTTGGGTGGAGAGGTGAAAATTAGCTCTTATTAACTAAACACTTAGTATGTATACGCTGTCTCTCTTCTCCCCTATTCTCCCCTTTCCATAAGAATCAAACGGTAAAAAGTAATGTTCACCAAGTGAAAACATAAACCTAGAAAACACTGGAGTGGAGAGGGGAAAGGACTGTATGTTAAGCTCAGGGAAAGAAGCAGGAAACTGTAATTAAACTGGATGTTTAAAGCCTGAAAAATCAGAAATAAACTTTTAATAACAGAAGAAACTTGTATACTCTGCCCTTCAACCAAACTGTCTAAGAGACTAACAAAAATAACTTAAAATGTAAAAATAATGATCGGATGACCAAAATATTGCAATAAAATAATTACAATAATCAGATACAGAATGGTATCTTGACATATGTAAATTTACATATGCAAATTCACCCAGTCATGACACATTGCAATAAGCCATCCTGAAACTAAGCTGTAATGGGTTGGTTGTTTGCAGAAGTAAAGTTCACCAGACGAATAACCAGGCTTACCACAGTTTGTTCCCCTCAGTCCTTCAGCCAACTGTAGCCATTTTCCTAGGGAAAAAGGAGCTTGAAAGGTAGTTGTCAAAATTCTGGATACAATTATAAAAGAGGGTTAGATGGGGAAATGGGTGTTTCAGGTTGGGACCACATGCCAGTGTATGTCCTAGTCCTAAGGTACCCATTTCCCAATCCAAGCCTCCTTTTTAAAGGGAACCAGAATGTTGACAGCCAGCTAGAAAAAAGGGCAGGAGTGCAAATTTGCACTTTCCCAAAACATATGAAGGCTCAGGACAAAGTATGAATGTTAACCCAGGTATTAAACCCTCTAAAAGAGGAAAGGACAAGAAAAGGTTCTTGTTGAGAAAGTGGTATAAATCCCTCTTACCCACCCACCCCCAAAAAAACCTTTTTGCAGCAAAAGTTCTCTTGCATCTTCTGTTTCTCTTGACAAGTTACTGTGTACGCAGCTGTAAAGAAGGAATGAAAGCAGGAGGAAATGCCTCTTCTGGGCAATGTTCAGGATTAGTACCTGTTGCCCCAGAACAGTAGACACCCTCCAGGGCATTGCTCCAACCAAGGCATCAAAATCCCTGCTGTTAGGCAACTGTGTCTAATTTTTAAAAACAAACACATTTGATGCTATTTTTAAACAAAAAATATTCTTTTAAAAAAGGTCTGGCAAGCATGGTATCTTCTTCAAGGTACAGCTTTGAAAAGACTGCCCATAGCTATCAAAATGGGAATCATGAAAGCTGGCTTGACACCTGCTTTTGCAATATCCGGGCCCATGGGGAGGGAGGAAACTATACAAAGAAAAAGTCATGGTGAGCCTGGAATGGTTCCTGAATTAGGTGGGGAGGAAGGGAACCAAGTGCCAGCTGACCCCAGGTGCTACCTGAGCACTTTGGGGGTGGCTAGCACTGGTGGATGCCCAGAAGCCCCATGGCAACAGGGATTTTGTCTTTTCATTTAGTGTTCTTGTCATGGGGTTCTGCAGCTAATTCTCTGGACCCACAAGAGGATTGGTAGTGTGAACCATCATGTGTCCAACAACTCCTAAAACAGCTTTTGTTTTTGGAAGGAAACAAATTGGCAGAGCATCCTTTTGTGACCTCTGTTGATCTACCTCCTTCCAAAAACTAGCAATTCCCTTTATTTTGGGTTTCAGGTAGTGGGGATGGGACATAAAAGAACCAATGGGAACATAAGTACCCTGCTAGATTGTGCCCACCATGAACATACAAGAGGATACAATGATGGGGACACCATGTATGCCACACTGAGCTCCTTGGAAGAAGGACAGAATATAAAAAAGTTTACAATTTTATCAGCAGCAGTATATAAGGTTTCACAGGAATTACTCTTTTATAAATATGATTAATGAACTTAAAATCATACTGATCAATCAAGTTAATCATATGACACTTTTGCAGCCTCCAAAGCAGCAGCTTTTAAAAATCTTAAGACAACAGTTCACCTAAGGTTTCATGTGCTGAACACTACTTGTGCTACCCACAACATATACACAGTACATGCACAAACCTGACACTGAACCCTACCCCATACAAAAGCAATATCCTTTTAAAGATGCATAATCTCCAGCAAATTTCCTAAGCTGAGCAGTGGGACAAGTTAAAGTCCCTATTCTTGGGACTTCCCAAGTTACAGTCCCTACTCTGCACATTTTCCAGGAATATTGTGCCATGAAATACTGAACAAGGAGAACCCTTGTATTCCTTGGCCTTGCAGGATGAGAGTCCAAACTGATTCAGAAATTAATACTTTAAAGACATTATAACAGTGGTGGGCAACATGTGACCCTCCAAAAGCTAGTGGAATGTCATTTACATCCACCCTGACCAGCATAGCCAATGCAGAGCAGTAAAGGGAACTGCAGCCTAACAAAAGCCAGTGTGGCGTAGTGGTGAAGAGCGTGGGACTGGGACTCAGACGATCTGGGTTCGAGTCCCCGCTCAGCCATGGAGCCAACTGGGTGACTCTGGGCCAGTCACAGACTCTCAGCCCAACCTACCTCACAGGGTTGTTGTTGTGAGGATAAGATGGAGGAGGAGATGTAAGCTGCCTTGAGCCCTTTGTAGGAAAAAGGCAGGATGAATCGGGGAAAAAAAATATCAAGGGCAATGCATTTCCCATTACAGCACTAAACATGTAAAACTACAATAGAAATTAGTATAAGGTGCATAGCAAAATTATTTAAGGTATTTGTATTTTAAATCAAGCACATAGAAATCAAAGTTAAATGTGCTAGACCCTCCATCAGGGGTCTACCTATACCAATGTTCACATATTGATACTGATTGGGAAACCTACTTGAAGGTTTTCATTTGCTCTCATGTTGCCATAAAGATCCTCCCCAAGGGGGAAAAATGCCCTGGTAACTAAATAATAGCGTCTCCCCCACTATTGACAGAAATTGCCTATGGTGCAAAAATGCAGAGCCTTAGACCTGCCTTCCATCGGCATGTACCTTGTTAATGTCTTCCAACTGGGAGGAGGAGCAGGAAGCACCCTCGGGAGACTATTATGCAGAACAGGAAAGACTTGCACTAAAACACAGGCACCTAGACCTGGGAACATTCAGGGGCTATTTATTTAAACAAGACACCAACTGCTCCTCTGGATCTGTTAGTCCATCAGGTAAATAACACACGTGCCAAAATACACACTTAATGAGGTAAATAATATGACTTGAAGAATAACTAGCTGTATTTACCTGAGAGACCAGTGAAGGGCCAGATTAGAAGATAATTGCAGATGAGCAGGTCGGGTAAATATGCATTTTATAACCTTCCCACAGAAGGAGTTTTGGTGAGATATACACTCACATTGCAGAAGGAAAGGTTAGAGACTAGGCCATTCGGCAAGCAGAGCATTTTTTCTTTTCTTTTTTAAAACAAAATAGAGTGGTGCACACTATGATGCATTAACTCTTGGAGGGAGAGGGGAAAAGGCAGAAGTGAAAGATGTTACTTCCATAAAGCAATGGATGAAGCCTCGGAAACTAGAAAGGCAAGCTACAAAAATAATAAGCAGCTGCCCTTGTAGCCTAACATTACATTTATCCTAGAGGTTCCCTGCCATAACTACCATCTTTCCATCTAGTGCTTTTTATTGTCATTAATAAATGCATTACAGCCAAATAGAAGTTAGTAACAGTCACTTCTAACCCATCATGGTGCAACATGTATTTGAGAGAGAAGCCTTTTAAATCTTCAAAGCTGCCAAGCTGTGTAGCTGTAGGGCTATCAGACAGATGTAATGCTCTGGAGTAAAGCAACTTCTCTAATATTTTACTATAGCAAAGTCCAGGCCACACCAACTGTACAGAAAAGACCACAAAAAAGGAAGACAAGATCACAACCATTAAATCAAATATATCCAATAAAAACAACCAACTCTACCCATCCAAATACATATTAAAAACAACTCTGCAAATAATGTGCCATGAGCAGTGAACTCAATTTCAGCATCTTACTCTGAAATCTGTAAAGGATTAGAGACACAGTTGCCTCTTTCCCTGCCCCAAATACAAAACAAAATTAACTGGTGGGAAAAATGGGGAAGACAAGCCAGGATATAAATCTAACAAATAATAAATATTATAGAATAGTTTTCTTATTGAAGTGAAGCTGGTGGTTCCCTGCTACATACAGACTTATGTTTAAAGCCTTCTCCCACTACCACTTTGCTTCCCATTCTTGGAAATGGGGAAAGCAAATCACCACCAGTTTGCCCTATAAACTGAAAACAAATCTCACATGCAGCAAAAGTCATGGAAGAAGAGTCCAGAAGAATCCTTCATAGCCAGTGCTTATTTGAGGGAGGGAGGGAGGGAGGGAGGGAGGAGGCTGAAGTATCTCTGGATTCCTATCTTCTGCTATGAAAGCACTTCTTTCTAATCCAAGATTGCATAAGGTGGGCTGCAGTTCTCCACTGGTTCATGAAATTCATTCTACATGAGCTCAGAGGAACTCTACGTCAAGCATTTCCATACTAAAACAATTGCCAAGATTCATCTCAGACGTCTCAAGGATGAGCTTTGGCTGAAATTAAGCCCTGCCCATGGCAGAAAGAACATAAATGGCAATATTGATTTTCAGGTTTGTATACAAGCTAGTATCAGTAGCAAAGTGATATAAGCTCCAGACTTTAAATACTCATGTCTACTAGAAACCAGTTCATATCCTGCTTTGAACTGCTCTTCATAAGCATATGCATATCTTCAAAGACACACAATGGCATCTGTCCCCAGATACCAGTTTGAATCTAAATGGTTGCTGTGGCACTGATAAAAGCAAAACAATTTCTGGGCTAGAACCCCATGTTCAAAGAAGCATAACGCTAGCAAGATTTGGAGGGAAGACGAGATGGAGC